TTGCCAGGTTCTGCAGGTGCAGATGATGCAGATGTACGGAAGAGTATATTAAAGAACAATAAGTTTAAGTATAAAGCGGCAAAGAGGTTGGAGCTTTTAATGAGGCAAACGGTCTAATTCAATAAACATGCTACAAGTTCATCAGGCGTGTGCCCTGTCTGTTCTGTTATCATTCGATTCGATGGAAAAATTTTAATTGGTTATATGATGGGGAACATTTTCAGGCGTAAACACGAGACTGCCTTAGACGTAATAAGGTTATCGCAATGAGTGATTCAGGTGTTTTTGAGTAGACATAGGGGAACTCTGCTCTGTTTTTGTTTATATTTTACTTCAGGACTTCGATGCACCTCATTCACTCACTGATAACCTTCCTATTTATTTAAATATGAAAGTCTGTGGTGGAGCGCAGTTGGGAATTCACCATGCACATTGGTGCTTTTCGTATATGTCCCGATATATTTTTATCCGAGAGTTTCTCCCTATTATTAGATTTATTATTAGATTATTTAAAATATTGTGATTCGAGCATACGGCGTTTACAGAACAGGCTGCGAACTGAGAAAGGCAATTTTCCCGAAAAAGGGCGCATAACCTCTCCAATGACCAGTGACCAAAGTTTCGTCGACAATCGAGACAGCGAGCAGTGGAATCTCCAATATCATTTGAATGCAATTGCTGTGACTCGAACTGTCTGCTAGCGAAAGAGTTGAGAATCTAACTACCTATCTATCACCATGATGGTCACGGAAAAATTTATCGCGGCGTATCCTCTACGCTAGTGGTGAGGCTATGAACGTTCGTTAGAAGTTTGATGAGCACGGAACGAAAAATGGTAGCTAATGACTAGCGGAAATTTGCGACCATGCAGCCGCTGCGTCGGTCTGCACGACGGCCGATGTTCAAACGATTTCTCGTGTTGTAAATAAGTTGTGAGGCCAAATCGACGAGGCTTCATATTTCGAGACGCCACATCTCAAGGGACAAGGTTCATAATTACGAATCCCTTATGGTCATGTACATCAGTCGGTCAGTTTCGATGACCGCCTCAGTTTTCCTCTCGTGAATGCAGATGCCTCAACCAGTTTCTCTGACGTTCAAGATCCTGTGCCATTGATTGAGTTTCAGCAGAATATAACTCGAATCTGGAGCAGAGTCACTGGCGACACTTGGCCCCAGATATTGTTGGCCATCCCTGGGGTCTCCGACAAGTCGCTTGACCAAATAGTGGCTGTTTCGCCATCCTTTCTAAAGGCGTTGGCAAGAAGTGTCTGAACCATGTGACTGCGGCATCTGAATCGACGGAACCAGCGGTTGCGCATCAGAGCACTCTCGGTCGTCTGAACCACTGACTATTTCGAGGCACATCAGCCTAGCGATATTTTTCAGCAAGTTCATTTCTGCCGATTATATCCGAGTTCGAAGTTTCTTAGGTAAGCATTGGGACAAAGATCGACTTGAACACAGAGAACTCAGTCTTCAGCTTTCTCAGCTCTGTTTCAGACAACTGTTCGAGTTAAAACGCTGCTGGCTGTGCCTATTTACCGGTCCTACTCCTCCTCTTCCTCCTCCTCTTTGAAATCGTCGGTAAACACGGCCCCGGCATAAGTTAAATTCTCCGTTTATCTGCGTGGCGCATCGAGGTAGCAACTTGATAATGATCCCATATGTTGGCAGACAAGCCCACGGTTTCTTGTACCGGAAGAGTTTATAAACTTTATCTAAATTAACAAAGCACACGTTAATCAGATTCGCAAACTTCCATGATTTTTCAACAATCTCGCGTAAGGAGAAGATCTGGTCAGAGGTGATTCTTCCTTTCCTGAAGCCACATTGCGTTTCTTGGACTCTAACGTCATCTGTTCGGCAACACTTCCTTTCCAACACCTATGAGAGACTTTTCCAAAGAGGCTCAGTGAGGTTCTACTCCGGTAATTAAGGCGGTCCCTATGATATTCTTTCTTGAATAATCGTACTACCTTTCAGTTCTCCAGTTCACCGATGACCTTCCCGTAATCGTCGAGATTTGATAGACAAGTGTTAGCCGCAATACACCTTATTGGCTTAGACCTATAAGCGTTTCGATGTGAATTTTATCGATTCTAGCAGCTTTACCACTTTTTCAACTTCGTATAGCTCCTGTGGTTTCTTCTACTGAAAGAGAATTATCGTTTGCTTGCTACTCTTCAGAAGGGTCTTCCAACTGTTGCTCAGATCTAAGCACTCTAGCTATTGCTGAAGTGTATCCTTTTCCTTAATACGGTAATAGAACCTCCGGACTTGTTCCTTAAGGTGCCTCGGAATAGATTTTTTACTTGTTGGAGACGACAGATAATCTGCCTGGATGACATATTTTTCACCAGGAAATTCGACTACAGTGCTTCGTCTAACTTTTCCCAAAAAAATAGTTTGGCCGCTTTCGCCACCGAACTACGCCCTTCTTCGTACCGCATTTCAGTTGTTGTACTTTCTTCAATACCACCTCCTGAATGAAGCATTATTCTTTCTGACAGATGGAACTGTCGTGTACAATCAGACGTTTGTTTCTGACCTTAGGGCGGTAGAACAACCCGTTTCCCGTGTTAAGCAACAGTATTTGGTGCAGCCTGGAATAAGCCGCTTTTTAAGATCTTCCTTCCGCAGTTATCACTTGAATCTGTTCAACCAGTCGTATGATGTTGTTTGCAAGGTTCGTCTTCATATCGAAAGGAATTTATGTTTACCATTTGATTCTCTGCTAGCTGCTACCACCGGGACATCGCAAGGTGCGAAAAACAAGATGATGATCAGCTGTTAGTTCTAGGCCGCTCCGAAGGCAAACAATCTTTGTTGTGCGTCGTTAAGTCGAATGATATGATTATCAAATGGTTCGAAATTCTCTATATGTTATCATGCTCAAAGATGGTATCATGGCAGACAATCGTTTGTTTACACAAAACCGCAATAACTCTTGCCGTTATAGTTGGGGACCCCTTATATTCGCTGCTTTTCACTTTCAGTGTCTACCCTGACATGCGTCTTGAAATTTTCCATCAGAATCATGGGTTTCCTAACCGATGCTTCATATATAAAACATTCTTTTTCCTCCAGAAAGGACTCATGTTCTGTCTCTGATTTGGGCGCACAGACTTGATGCAATATTTAAGCCTTAGTTTATTGTAACATCGGTTGGAGAATTGCCACTCTTCCGCTGACAGGCCTCTATTCATTGATTCGGCCAGTTCAGTTTTTTTCCTCTAGCAGAGCATCAACACTGGCTTGAGTGCGGCTCGTAGGGTAGATGCATCTATAAGATAGCTTCCTCCTCCAGAGGTTAAGAATTCCGGTGTTCTGGCGTTTCGTTGGCGAAAGTACAACTATACGGTGGCTCAATGCCACATCAAGTAGCTTATGATCTTTTCCTCTGAGTGAAAATATGTTCGAATTTCCGACCGTGAGCTCCGGCGTAACCTCATCAAGCTGTCTGCCTTTTCCGTTCAGAACGGACAGCGGCTTCGTTTATGGCGGGTGTCTTCGTCCTTTTTTGGTCGATGTTCGGCAGTCTGCCCCGCGCTACTGTGAACGCGAAACAGGATCTGATTGCCGTCTTTTCTCAATCTGCCTCAGTTCCCTCACAGACCGCGCGGCCTTTGGTAAACAGGGTGACGACCTACCCGATATAACGTTCGATAACGGCTATAACATTAGAGACATGTACCTAAGTTCAACGAGAGACCTCACCCCGGTCCTCAGTCCTCCTTCTTTCTCATTAGCGCTTCGGACCAGCAACGGTGAGGTGTTTACTTCGCACACATGTGCCTTAGGAAGATATGGACGTTAGGCTGAGTCTGAAATGAGTTTCATTCAGTTGACGCATGAAATCGTGAAAAGGGTCTCTAAATTTTATTGCGTTTTCGCTGCTCACTGTTGCGTTTTCGACTCCGAGTTTATCACGTGACAAGTGGACTTGATGGGACGGCGGGTCATCATTATTGGTAATAGAATTCGGTCTAAGTGCATTGATGATGAATGTACTTTCAACCGTAATTGAGTTCTGAGAAATTTATGGCCATTTGCATATGCTGTAATAAGCTACCAACGGAACAGTTTGTTTAATCATCCGGGCAAGTGCCTTCGTTTGATTCAGTATTCCCCCAATCACAACATAATCTCACGTTCAAATCCATTGTTTCTTTGATTTCTCTTTTCTTAAGTCAGTAATGACGTTCAGTTTATGAAGAGGTAGTACGAAACCTGGAAAATTGTTTTACATTAACGGAGCTTTCAAAGCTGAAACCGGCCATATTTGTGGAACTTTAGAATTATTTTTGTGCTTTGAAAATACACTTTTTAATATTCCACGAGTATCACTGAAAGTAAAATAATTTTTCAGGTTTGAAAAGTTTTCATATCTACCGATAATTTTTGTTGATGATTCTTGATGCCTTTTTAACTACTTTTCCTCCTGGCCTCGATTCTGATAGGTTCAGTGTTCAAAACAAGAACCTTAATGACTGTGAGGATACGAATTTTCGCCTCTCTTTGCCTTCATTTGCATTGGCAACCAAATGCGCGTCTTTCCATCATGCCTTTTAAATATGCAGAAGACACGACAATCGCTACGGCTGTGACCGACCTTTTTACTTTTCATTCACCAAAAAAATAATAATTTGCTATGCTGCTTCATCCAAGTTCGTTTGATATGTTGTTGGCATTTCCCAACCAGGTGTTAAGAGATTCATATTTCAATGTGCCATTGAAATATGAATGGAGAAAACCTTCAGTTGTTTAGCCTAAGCGAAGTTCCTTTAAAGGTTCATGGTGATGAAGCGGCGCATGACGTGCTACTGGCGTTCCAAGGCAGAAGTCTCGGTCAGCTTGGCCGAGTCCTAACCACTGACCTGAAGAAAATGGAAGAATATTACCAACCCTGAGGCGTATGTCAAACCTGTCCTAAATAACTGCCACCACCTTTCATTTCAATAGCCGTCTGCTAAAACTGCCTTCCATGTGTCTTTCTGTGCGAATCGAGTCAGAGACACGGTCACTCCGAAATATCTGAGTAGCTAACCTTGGGCCGCAGCCATAGGTTGCTAAAACACCTCCCAGAGACCTTGGCCGAGACTAAGGCTCGAAATGACGTTGGGTAGAAATTGGTCGAGACAAGTTGGGGATCTGATGACCACACCTTGCGAACGGTCGCCCTGGTTATTGCATATTCTACAGTAGTGGTATGCAGCGGCATGGCTCCAAAGCAGCCATATATAGAATCTCGACGCCATCGTTAATAACACCATGAAGGTCATAAATGGAATCTTTCACAGCATTCCACTATCCTGCTTACCGGTACTCTCAAACATAACTCAATCCGATATAATAAGGCGCCAAAGGTGTCTAAGAAAGTACCGCAAAATTCAGGATGAACCAAACTTGCCTCTTCATTAATGCCTCGAAGAGCCACTTGGCCTGTAAACAGTGTGCCACCTTGAAGAGGATCCTCGCGAGCCACGAAAAGACGGGGGCATCGCCTGCACAAGTGGCGCCAAAAAGAAACCTCATCGTGCGACTGCGGCTACACAGACCCAACAGTCAACCACAACATCAACCAGTGCATATTAAAAAAATTCGACAAAGGAATCGGATCATTGCATGCGCTGGCAACAGGCTAATAATGCCTGACTATGCAAATTGAACCTCTATTTATAGCCATTGCTGGCACAAGCACGAAACACATCATAAAATTGAGCATTTAAGGTCTCTGAGATATCTTACAGTCCTTCCAATGAAGGTTTGTTTCTGTTTTATCACGAGAAGCTGACTGTTGGTAAAACACTAGAGAGCTTCTGCAATATTATTCATCTGTGAGGTACGCGGGAAATTCAAAATCTGCCCGGCACAGTTTGATAAAATCCTGAATTTTTCCATTTTTTACCTGTCTATCTTCTTTGTTCAACTTCTCACCACTAATAGTCACATTTCCCGCCGATCCCTGAAATGGACAGCACGTAATGGATGCCTCGATTTTGGAGTTATGGTCAAAGAACTTGTACAGCATATCAAACGTTCGCTACGCTTGGGCACAAATTTTCTCCACTTCTCTTTATTCGGTTTATCTGGTCCTGACGTCGTGTATATCCCTATGGCAAAATATGGGTACTGAAACTTTATTCAGTCATTCAGTACGTTGGTTTATAATGTGAAGGATCTCATTTCCATTGCTGATATGGGTGCAAACAGCTGTTAATTTCCTTACAGTAGTGTACACTTACGTACAGGCGTTTACATGCACATTCTTTTGTGCTGAAAGATATGGTCACGTTCCGTATGTTCAAGTAAAATAACTCATCTATTCGTTCATACATTCAATAACAACAATATGTTATTTTCTTCCCGAAATGAGATTCACGAACAAGAAATTTCAGTAGAGTTTAAGCGATTCACATTACTGGTTTTAATAATCCAAATGATGTGAAGGATGTGATTTTAAATAAAGTTCCTAATATCATTCATCAGACATTATTTGGATCTTCCATGGCCTACAAACCTTCATCCATTGGCGCCATTAAATGATGTGTTGAGATAATGTTTTCAGTGATACGAGTAATAAGTAGCAAGCGATCACTAATGACTATCATTTTTCATTTCGACTTTTAATTAATATACCCTTCTCCTCAGCGGAGTCGCGCCATGGGCATAAATCAGCCTTTCTCAGGATTTTTTGCTGTCTCTACAGCTTCAGCGAAAACTTTTAAGTTGTAAACAATTCTTCCCTAGGAAAGTCATCACGAAGCAGCTAGCATGTGTTAATATCTTGGATAATGATGCTGACTGAGTCATGGGAAATTGCTCTAGTCGGAATTCCCCTACCGAAATGGCTCAGATGTAGAAATCAGTCAAACATCGTTCACTCCTGATTCTCTCATGGGTACCGTACAATTACTTAACTTAAAAGTGATCAGTTCAGTTTACCCCTGTTGATAATGCGCTCTTCTGAACCGTAAATAAAATTTGTATAGGT